CTCCCTCTAGCCCCTTGAGATGATCACTTCTGCCCCAGGGTGCAGCCTCACAGAACAGATAGAGGGAGAGTGGTCCTCGATGAGGGAGGGTCTCTTCCAGGCTTTGCTATTCCTGGCATTCAAGGTGACGGTAGTTTCAGATAGTGATTTATCTCTGTGCCTTCAGTCTCAGGTCAGATAGACACTTCCGTGGTGAACTGCACACCAAGCAGCAGAGCTAAGCTGGTGACTCAAGGGAGATAGGTGCAGTGAAGGCAGGGATGCCAGGCTCCCATCTTGCTTTCAGTTGCCTTGTGAGCCCAAGTGAGTCCATGTTCTTCTTCTTCGGCAGCAGCAGCTTCTAAGTGCCCGTTCTCTGAGGAGCAGCAGTGTGGGGTTTTGACCTCTCTACTGTGCACTACAAACTCTCAAGGGAGAAGGGGGAAAGGCCCTTGGCACTGATAAGGTGTTGCTAAAGGAGCTGCCTGCTGGCTGACTCCCAGCCATCCACATCTGGGGCAGTTTGATAAAATGCCTAGGCTCATTATTACTCCAAACAAGCTTCTGGCCAGGAATGGTGGTGCAGGCCTTTACTCAAGCGCACTCAAAGAGTCAGAGGCAAGTGGATGTTTGTGAGTTAGAGGTCAGTCTGCTTTCCATAGCAAGCTCCAGGCTACACAGTGAGACCCTGTTGCAAACAAACCAAAATCAACAGCCAGCTCTTTTCTTCAAGTCTCCTTCCTATCTGTCATGTGCTGGCCACCTGAGCTAACTTCCTAACACGGTTTCAGCCATGCCATTTTCTCTCCTCAGCCATTTTTAGCAGGGCTTCCTGTTGCCTACATGAAGCTCAATATTTTGGCTTGGAGCAAGGGAAAGCTGGATGATTTAGCCCCTCTAGCCTCTAATTTCCCTATTGTGTGCAACACCTCACACTCTTGTTATACTGTGACCCCGATTCTGGGTCATTTCTTCAACACTGAGAAATTGAAAAAGTCAAGGATCAACCTGATTTATGATAATATACAAGGATTTGTTCATTCTTGGACTGGGAAAAAAGCCTAGCATCAAATGAGACTTCAGGCAGGGCTCGATCCGGCAGCTAACAATTTTCCCAGAAGCTAAGTCCGTTTGTGTCTAACTTAGTCCCCAGATGTTGCCAGCAGCCACTGGGACTTAGCTGCTTTGTCTCTGAAGAAAGAATGACTGTGCACAACATTCCTAGCCGATCTTCACTCTGAATATATAGAGGTGTCACGGCTATCTCAGGTACCCGGATCCCTGTGGCCAGCGGAAGAGGTGCACTGCCTTACGCTAGGCTTTTCCCCCTGGAGTTTCTCCAGGTGGAGAGGATACCTAGTGTCTTAGTTAGGGCTTTTTATTGCTGTGAAGAGACACCATGATCATGGCAGCTCTTATAAAGAAAAACTTACTTGGGGTATCTCGCTTCTAGTTTCAGAGGTTCAGTCCATCATCATCATGATGGGGACTATTGTGGTGCAGGCAGACAAGGTGCCGGAGCTGAGAGTCCTACAGTTGGAACAGAAGGCAGCAGGAAGTTGACTGAAGGTCATACTGAGGGAAGCTTGAGAAAAGAGACCTCGAAGCCCACCCCCACAGTGACAAGCTTCCTCCAACAAGGCCACATTCCTAATTCCTAATAATGCACTCCCTTTGGGGGCCATTTTTTTTTTCAAACCACCACATTCCACTCCCTAGCCCCCAAGGCTTAAAGCTGTATCATAATACAAAAAAATTATTCAATCCAACTTCAAAAGTCCTCATAGTCTATGTATAACAGTCTTAAACTTATTTCAAGTTCAAGATCCAAAGTCTCTTCTGAGACACATGGCAAACTATTAACTTTTAGTTTTTATCACCTGCAAAAATCAAAATCAAAAAGCAGATCACATACTTTCAACATATAATGTCACAGGATATACATTACCACCAAACATAGGGAAGGGTACATAGCAAGGAAATACTGCACTACAGCAAGACCAAGAACCAGCTGACCAAACTTTATTCTCTACATCTCTGCGTCTGACGCTAAGACACTCTTCAGGTCTTTAATTCTGTTCAGCTTTGTTGACTGCAACACACTTGTTTCTCTTGGGCTGGTTCCACTCCCCGCTAGCAGCTCTGCTTGGCAGGTGTCCCACAACTCTGGTATCTCTAACGTCTTGGGAACTCCAAGGTTCAACCAGAAGTTTAAATTCACAGCTTCATGCAGAGGCCTCTCTACAAGGCCTCCATTCAGGGACACTCCTGACACATGCCTGGCCTCAGTAGCTTTCTTTAGGCATGAAGGTAAATTCCATAACCCATTTCTTCTGTCCTTAACTCTAAAGCTAGAACCACATGACCAAAGCTGCCAAGTTCTGCTGCTTACTGGAGCAGGAACCTGGCCCCCTTGTTTAATTACATCTTCATCAGCTTTCTGTTTTCCTTCACTGCCTAAGCTTGGCTGTCCTTGAACTTGCTCTTTAGGCCAGGCTGGCCTCAAACTCAGAGATTTGCCACCCTCCACCTTCCCAATGATGGGGATTAAAGGTGTGTTCCACCACACCTGGCTGTAAACTTTTCTTTAGTTCCTTTTCACAAATTGGCCATTTAACTGGGTGGGATCTTGCCCTGAGGTCCCCACTCCCTTTATTCCATTTCTTAAATCCATTTATCTCCTTGAACATAGGATTTAGTTCCATTCTACTTCCTGGTGCTCTTTTTCTCCTCAAACTTTACATTAGTAATTTACCCTGCTCAGCTTGCTCCTCTTCATTATAAATCTTCATTAGAGTTACCACTATTAGTCACATGACAGAGTCTACACTAGGTTGTTTTGAGATTTCTTCTGCTAATGGAATTAATTCAAAACTCTTTACTTTGGCCTCAGGCAGAGTCTTTGGACAAAGGCAAAAAGCAGCCATATCCTTCACCAAAATATCACAAGAATGATTTCTAGACAACATACTAAAATTCTTTCATGAAACCTCTTGAGCCAGCTTCTGACATTTCAAATAATTATCAACACCATTGTCTTCCATGCTCCTACTAGTCTGCCCCATTGGACAGTACTTAAAGCATTCCACTGCTTTCTTAACCCAAAGTACCAAAGTCCATATTACTCCAAACAAAAGCATGGCTAGGCCTATCATAGCAATATTCCAGTCCCTGGTACCAGCTTCTGTCTCAGCTAGGGTTTTCTATTGCTGTGAAGAGACACCTTGACCACAGCAACTCTTATAAAGAAACATTTAATTGGGGTGGCTCGCTTATAGTTTCAGAGATTCAGATCATCATCATCATCATGGTGGGGAATATCGTGGTGTGCAGGTAGACATGGTGCTGATTATATCTTACCAGAAAGGCAGCAGGAAGTCAACTGACTGAGAAAGGAGACCTCAAAGCTCATCTCTTACAGTGACACACTTCCTCCAACCAGGCCATACTCCCTAAAAGTGCCACACCCTTTGGGGGGGCATTTTTTTTCAAACTGCCACACCCAGATGAACTGGGGTATCAGGAAAGAGTGGGAAGCTAAGGAAGCATCTAGGTGTTGGGTTATACTAGTTAAAGATGTATTATATTCTTGAGTGCTGCGGAATATTGGTTTAATGATGCAAAGATGTCTTGCATTCTTTTATGTTGCATTTGTTTAACTTGGTGAAGCTATATTACTTTGTCTGCCTAATATACCTGATTGGTCTAATAAAGAGCTGAATGGCCAAAAACTAGGCAGGAGAGAGAAATAGGCGGGGTTTCCAGGCGGGGAGAGTAAATAATAGAGAAATCTAGGCTAGAGGGGTGAGAAAAGGAGGAGAGGAGCTTGCCAGGAGCCAGCCACAAAATAAGAAGGAAAGAAAAGATATATAGAAATAGAAAAAGGTAAAAGCTCAGAGGCAAAAGGTATATAGGATAATTTAAGAAAAGCTGGCTAGCCAGGTGGTGGTGGTGCACAATTTTAATCCCAGCACTTGGGAGGCAGATGCAGGAGGATCTCTGTGAGTTTAAGGCCAGCCTGGTCTACAAAGCAAGTTTCAGGATAGCCAGGACTGTTACACAGACTGTTACTGTCTTGAAAAAAGAAAAAAAGAAAAAGTAAAAAGAAAAGCTTGCTAGAAACAAGGAAAGCTAAGGATGGTTATTTATAAGTAATAATAAGTCTTCATGTGATTATTTGGGAGCTGGGTGTTAGGCCCTCAAAGAATAAAGAATAAAACAAACAAAAACACCCGACTACACGTAGGCTCGACTCACTGCATAATCTCTTCCTTCCTGTGGCTGACTGACAACATTCTAAGTGTCTATTTCATGAGGTCACATTAAGCACAGATTAGGGGGCCAGTGACCTGCTCCTCCATCAAAGCCATGCTAGTGATGCCAGTGATTAGCAGGACATAGTGAGCTCTTTGGAAAGAGTTCCAGGTGCTTTTTCCTTTCTAGGAAAACTCCAGGTTTTTATGTCCTGGCACAAGTAATTGGACAGAGTCATGTGGACACTAAGTTACAAATAGGAGAATTTGGAAAAGAATATATTACCACAGGTGAAAGTGGGTTGGAGAAGAAAAGAAGTTCAGAGGCACCAAGCAATGTATAGGAAGGAGGGGTGATTTTGGCGTTACATTTCATGAGCTTTCAGTCATTTTCATAGCACAGGCTTTTCAGTGCACCCTGTATCTGCCACATGTGGTTCTACATGCAGTCTCCACCCAGATGCGTGCATTGTAGGAATATACTGGACCATAAGTTCCTTCTAAGCACTCTGGGTTCTGGGCAGGCTCTAGCAGGATGGGGGTGGAGCTCAACAGTTTCTCATTTGCTAATTGTGCGCTTGGGTCCAGCCTCCTGGACCTCATTCCCTGCCTGTTCCTCCTGCTTCACTTAGCTCCCTTGGGAAGAGAGAGTTGTGGGTGCTGTCCTGGGGTGGGAGCTGTCCAGCTGCTCTGCCTGTTCTCTTCTCTGGAAAGATCAGCCTCCATTCTCTTCCTCCCCGACGCATGCCCCTATTCTTTGTCACCTACCTGTAATGGTGTTTCTTAATTCTGTTTTGTTTTGATGGTGGTAGGATTGAGTGCAGGGAATTCTCCCATGGAACTACAATCCTCAGGCCACTTCTGTCTTTCTTCATATCCAGTTGTTTGTACACTCAGCTTTTTCTGTGAACAGAAAGACTCTAAGGCAGGGGGATTCATACTTGTTCATTGTAGGGGTTTACAGGCCATCATTACTGACAGTTGAGTGTGTGAAAAGCGTTTTGCTAAGAACTTTTTGGGACTGGATGGGTGGTGCATACCTTTGATCTCAGCACTCTGGAGGCAGAGGCAGGTGGATCTATATAGAACATTCCAGCATATGTGTGCAGGGGTGGGGGGTAGGAGGGACGGTATTTTAGTGTTTTACTGAAGCACAGATCCCTTTAAGTACTCTGGAGGCCTCTGTCCCTGTGCAGACCTTGTATCAAAACAAACCAAACAATAACAAAAAACTCAAAACCTACCACTACCGCCAAACAAACAAACAAAACAACAAAATTCCCAAATCACCACCACCACCAAAGACAAATATTCTTCCTATGCAATATGCAGCCATTGATCGAGTGCTGCCTTAGCTCACATAAAGCCCTGGGCTACTCTCAGTGCAGTTTAAACCAGGCAGGGTAGTGTGGCTGTAATTCTAGCACTTAGAGGGTGGAGGCAGAAAGAGCAGAAGTTCAAGGTCATTCTTGCCTACCTAGTGAGTTTTACACTAGACCCTGTCTCAAACAAACAGTTTTCCTCCTGTGCTGGGAATGTGGCTGAGACAGTATAGAAAGATTGGAAACTAGGGGTCATGGGGAGGGGAGGGAGTGCTTTATTCTGGAGTCTGGTGGAAGTCTTCTGCCAGCTAAGAGTTCCAGAACAGTTAACAAAATTTGTGGTGAGATTACTAACACAGAGACAGTGCTCACTTTATACATATATTTTTTTTTCCTTTTTCGTTCTATTTTATTTGAGACAGAGTTTCTCTGTATAGCTCTGTCTGTCCTGGGACTCACTCTGTAGACCAGGCTGGCCTTGAACTCACTGAAATCAGCCTGCTTCTGCCTCCCAAGTGCTGGGATTAAAGACGTGCGCCACCACTCACTTTGTATGAAGATATTAAATGGTAGTGACCCATGCTTCAGACCTGAGTGGGTTTGGACTTTCTCCTTTCCCCGCTATAAACCTGCAGTTTTCTAGAAATCTCACCAGAAACCCCATTTACAGCAAAGGGCATTGTCTTAACCCCCTTGCGCAACTCTTGTGGCTTATGGTTTTATCATCTTTTTCAGATAGCAATCCTATCCAAGGGGCCTCTGGAACCACACTTATTTAAAAAAGGGGAGAAAGGAGAAAAAAAGGTTTCTTAGTAATGCTCTGAGAAATAACTTCACAGCCACCAAAACTGTATCTAAGGCTACCACTAAAACATTTCAGGGAGACTCCCCCTTGAAAGGCCCGCACACCTGTAGTTGGGTGTGCTCTCTGACCTGAGCCCCTCTTTTTTACTTCTTTTTTGTTTTTGTTTTTTTGGGACAGGGTTTCTCTGTGTTGCCCTGGCTGTCCTGGAACTTGCTTTGGAGGCCAGGCTGGCCTTGAACTCACAGACAGCCACCTGCCTCTGTCTCCAGAGTGCTGGGATTAAAGGCGTGCACTACCATGCTCGGCCTCTCTTTCTCTTATATCAGACATGTCTTCTTAATAATTCCAACTCTGCTTCATACTGGCTTGCCCTAAAATTCTTTTCTGCTGTGACATCAAGACTCTCACCTTGCTTAATTGGCAGTCTGTGGGGAGAGTTCTTTGGGTAGCTGTGTGGAGGTGTGTCAGGCCAGCTGCCAGGACACACAGTAGCAGGTGCTATGCATGCCCTGGGCTCCATCTGCAATAAAGAACTTGTACATACTCTCTCTTAATATGGGCAGCAGGCAGCACTCTGGCACAGGTAATATATCCAGTTACAGGCGAGGAACTTGGAGTTTAGTAAGTGACTTGCCCAAGCTCACATCATTAGCAGGCAGTAGCTTAGAGGCTTGAACATATGTCTCCTCTAGCATGTGATGTTTTAATGCAGACGTCTTTCTCAGGCTGATGTCTTTCTGGAGGATGGTCCTGCTCCAGGTGATTCTCTAGACACAGATTGGAAGGAAGTAGGGAAGAGGCATGGGGGAGCTTGAGTCTCCCTGAGGACAGGCAGTGTTAAGGCACACATGACTCTCTTCTTGTTCTGGGTGGTTGCCAGTTGGGGACTGCGGACCACCAGACCCTGATTTTCTTGTAAACTTGTTTTCCTCTGCTCTGAACAGCCTGCAGCTGCTCTGAGCATGAGACCTGATGGCAGACTGGTGGGTTTGCAGCTGAAAGACCCCGAGAGCTTTGGCGTGGCCAGAGCCCGATATAAGCTGCTCCTGAGCGTAATAAAGTGGGCCTTCTTGGCATTCTTGTCTCAAAGATGTAACCGGGGTCCCGGCTGTCTGTCTGTCTGTCTCTATCTGTGTGTGTATGTTTTTAAATTTTCAGCCTACTTCCCATAGCATGTAGTGAGTAGGGCGTGGAACAGAACTGGTGAAGTTTTACAGTTGCCTGGGTAGTTAAGAAGGGACTTCCCTAGGTGACCAGCTGTGGACAGATTCCAGGAGCACCTCTGAGAATGGCCTCAGGGACAGAGGCTCTTGTCATCCTGGGGCCTCAGAAGTTGGAATCATACAATTTTATTTGCTGGAGGAAATGGAAATTGGGAACTTGCTCAAACTCTGCTGGAATATACAGGTGGCATGAGCAAGCCGCTGAAGCTGCCTGGAGGGAACAGAGCTGATTCAGGAAGGGTCAGCAGTGGACAGGGACGGGGGGGGCGGGGGGGGGCGGGGCAATAGCTCAGCCCTCCAAGTAAAAGGTCCTGATCTCTGGGCAGGCACATGGGAGCTATGACCCGCTGCTAGCCTCCTGAGCCTTCTAGCTGAGAGAGAGAATGGACCAGCCTTCCAGCTGGCCTAGACAGCCTGCCTGCCCAGAGAGGAGAAAGGGGAGGGAACAGGGTTAAGACCCGGGTGCCTTCCACCCAGAAGACAGCTGGTGGGCGTGAGGCTGGTGGGTGGAGGTTACCGGGCCACCCCTCCCCCTTCTCTGCAGAAGCAGTCGAAGACACTGTCCGCTTTTATTGTCTTTACCACTGGGTGTTTTCGGAGGCAATTTAAACACTGGCAAACACCAGCCTTTCGTTCTTTCTCTGGCCACTGAAAGGAAGCGGTGGACTTAAGAATCATCTGAGTGGCGAGGCCAGGGCCAGGAAGACGGGAAGGGTGGGGGAAAGAGTGAGACGATGGTGAAAGTATGTGGTTTGGCGGGTGGGACCAGGCTCGGGTAATGGGCTGAGACCTGCGGCGAGCAAGGGAGGAGGGCCCAGGCCTTGCTGGGCGGCGACCTCAGCCCGCAGGAGGCTCTGGGGAGGGCTCGGGGCGGGGACAGGAGGTCTGCCAGGGCCCAGTCACCCCTTCCCCCTCTGCGGGAGGATGACAGGAAGGAGGGCGGCTTTTATACTGTATTAAAATCCTACGCTCTACCTAGGACACGGTGTACCAGCTGTGCAATCAGTCAGCACTTGTCGGGCAAGAGACTGGTGCTCGGGGCCTCGTGGATGTATCTAGTTGTGCTGCGAGGGCGTAGACCAACGAACCCCCCTCACCCCCCTCCCGCGCCCCTGGCTGGCTTTAGCCTTCTACCTCTCTGCTTTCGTTTCCATCTGACACCAACCCACCTTTCCATTTCCTTCCTTGGGTTTGGACCCCAGGAGCTTGGATCCCGCCTCCCTTCCTTAGTCCCAGATCCTGGGTGAGGAGATGTTACCAGCCTTAGCCAGTACCACCCGGAGGGTGTCGCGCAGGGCGGGTCTTTCCTAATCTTGCCTCTGCACAACCCTGATGATTGTACAGGGCAGCGGGTGCTGTGTTTGGGAGTCTGGAGTAATCCTCCCCAAAGGTGTCCCGGTGGGTAGCACAGCTGCGGAGTGGAGATAGATGGACCCGGGCCACGGGTCTGCCCACAAGGCCAGTGGCCTGCCGCCTCCTGCAGGCTCTCTGTACCTCTGGAGTCTGCAAGCAAGGACACGGTGCCAGGAAACTTGGTTTAATCATGAGCAAAGTGAACCTGCCAGAGTCCATTCTCTCTCTCTCTCCCTCTCTCTCTCTCTCCCTCCCTCCCTCCCTCCCTCCCTCTCCACTTGCAAAGCTTGAACAATAACTTGCTTGCTTCTTGCTTCTTAATCAGGTTATTTGGGGGCTGCAATTAAGCCAGTCCTTCTCAAATTAGTTCTGGGTCCAACCCTACTCTTGGCACATGACAACTGACCTTGGCCTCTGTTTTCCAGTCTGGGAGGGACAGTAACAGAACCACACTCATTGGGCCCAGCAGTGAACTCAACTGCTGAGGATTTGTAAGTTGCCCAACACAGGTTGCCTGTCGTCATAGTCAAATGGGACATTTTTGTGCAAGTAATTTGTAAACTGTGGTGTGTTCTTTAGAAATGTAGGCGGTTACTCAGGTACAGACTAGGTGAAATTCTGGGCTCTGCCCCATTTTCTACGGGAAATCCATCCTCAGCACCCTGGAACTTCCCCCTCCTCAGTACTATCCCCCCCTCTGAGGTACACACACACACACACACACACACACACACACACACACACACAAAGGAGAGATGTGAATTCGCGTGAATTCTAATTGGTCTTAATAATAAAAACCTGATGGGGGGAGGCAGGCAAGCTGTCTCAGAGGTTAAGAGCTACTTAACCTCTTAACTCTTTTATAGGTCCTGAGTTCAATTCCCAGCAACTACATGGTGGCTCACAACCATCTGTTATGAGATCTGGTGCCCTCTTCTGGCCCGCAAGCATACATGCAGGAAGAACACTGTATACATAATAAATAAGTCTTAAAAAAATAATAAAACCCCGAATGGGATAAATGCTGAAAGATCAGAGAAGTAAAGGAACAGTCACTAGAGAGACTTTTTACCTCTACCGAATCCTCAGACCAAAGGGGGCAAGATCCTGTCTCCATGAATTCTCAAACTGAATGGGCTATCCTGTCTCTACAAGTCCTCAGACTGAACGCAATGCCTTGAGCTCCTGTCTCCTCCTGCCTTGTGTTCCTCTTTCACCCAGCCATATCTCTTCCTGTCTCCACCTCCCTGGCATTAGGATTCAAGGTGTGTGACTCCCAAGTACTGGAATTAAAGATGTGAGCCACCACTGCCTGGTTCTGTTTCTCTTTGAGACTAAATCTGTCTAGTGTAGCTCAGAGTGGCCTTGAACTCACAGAGATCTGTCTGCCTCTGCCTCAAGTGCTGGGATTAAAGGTGTGTGCCACCACTGTCTGGACTCTATGGCTAACTAATGGCTTAGCTCTGCACTCTGATCCTTAGGCAAGCTTTATTTGTTATAGCACAAACAACAAGATATCACTACAGAGAAAAGCTGTGTATCTCTGCTCTATCATCTCTCTCTCTCTCTCTCTCTCTCTCTCACACACACACACACACACACACGAGAGAGAGGCAAGACAATATAAATAAAAAGAAGCCTCAGTTTAATCATCTGGAAAATGGGAAGCAGCAGTAATCAGGAGCATTAGAGGGGGCTCCACATCTGAGGAGGTGGCAGGAGGGGTGAGGAGGGGGTGGGAGAAGTGCAGTGTCTGGCACCGTGGTCTGCAAGTTAGAGGCAGTTTGTGTGCAGCCAGTGCCTTCTGAGCACCCTGCCTCCCCGGGCAGAGTATGAGCTCTTCGTCTATCCCGGTGCTCATGCCTTGGCTGCTCAGTAGGACTGTGACCTCACCCCCTCATCATGGCTCTCTGCAAATATGCAGAGTGTTACTTAGCAATAACGACTTTTTTCACGTTTATGCAGGAGCAAGATTTACTGAACACAGGCTTTTGCAGGTGCCAGGCACTTTCCCTGTTATGATCAATGAGGAAACTGGAGTTCACAGAGATTGACGAGATCACCGGCCCGAAAGAACTGGGATTGCAACTCAAGGTCGGTCTATCTCTAAGATTTTGCTTCTTTTTATTTTTATATTGTCTTGCCTTTCAAAACAGATTTTAAACTTTTATTGTATTTGCTGTTTACAGTGACACCACATGGATCTTTGCTGGTCAGTAAAGTGGATGAGCTGACAATTGATTTTTTAAAAAAGTCTGCAGGTACAAAGCACTTTGAAGACGCAAGGCTTTAACTGTAAGCTCTTGATCCTGTGATCTAGAAGTCTGGCTCTTTCTCTTGAAATGATTGGCTTTAGGGTTTAGTCTTACTTGTTACTTTGAAAGCACACTCTCTTTTACTTCCAGTAAGTTTGTGGTAAAGGCCCACAGGCAGCTGATTACAGAATTGTGATCTTCTGGAAATGCTAGTGAATCTTTGGGAGATGGAATTCCTGTATAACAAAGGCAGCCGGTGGCTGCTGAAGGAGACCAGAAAATGGCCTGTGAAGTGCTGTGATCATAAGACAGGGACCACACTCTGCTGGCCACACACACACACACACACACACACACACACACACACACGGACTCACTTGGATTCGCAGTCACACCTCTGTGGTCACAACTCCGGGCAGTGAGGAAGCAGCACTGCCCCTGTTTGTCTCCCCACTCAGCCAGCTCTTGCTCTGCCAGCCCCTGAGCCTCTGTTCTGTGATGTCCCTTCTGGCCCCAGCAATGCGGGGCTGCCCTGAGTTGTCAGCTCTGCTGTCTGGAGGAACCGGCTTCAGTGCTGAGTGTGGCCCCGTGGAGCACTTGCAGGTGGGGAATGGTGGAAGAATGAAGAGAGCATTGTTCTTGATTAGCTCTGATTAATCCTTTCAGGGGACCCAAGATCAGAAGAAAATCAGCAGCCCGTGTCCAGCTGCCACCCATGGCAAATGAACTTGGTTGTTTTTACAAAGATCCTTTTCTTCATTGAACAGTCACATGGGTTCACCAGTCAGATTATGCCCATCAGTGGACCAGAGAGAAAAGTGATCACAACTGAATTCTCATGTAGCTCATTATCTAAATAGGGAGTCCTCTTTTGCATAAACAAGGAAAGTACCAGGTATCAAAAATAAAACAAGCAAATAGGCTGCCAGCAGGCCAAATAAAGAATCGGCGTAGCAACCCAGACCACATGTGTCTACGCGGCTAGACAGATCAGGTGCAAATCTTGGGTCTGTTGCTCGATGATTGTGACCTCAGACAAATCAAGCCCTTTGTGCTCCAGTCTTCTCAGTGACAAGTGAGGGTTGTATGAATATCAGTGGGGTCTTGCCGTGAACATTGGGTCAATTAAAATGGTGCCTAGGCCTTGAACATTGAGGCTTGCATGAACACTGAGCCAATTAGAATGGTGACTAGGCCATAATAAGTTCTCTAATACCTAATACATATATCATTATATCATGGCATTTGGTGTAGCTCAGAGATTGGTGTTGAGGTCTTCCTCTGTTGCTCTCTTATGGGGCTATGAAGTCCTGAGTGAATGTGTGTTGCTGACTTGGGCATGGCCGTGTCAAAGACCCCAGTGCCTCAGACCCATGGGAACTGGCAAAGCTCCTCTAGTCTGTGTTGTGGATATTGACAGTGTATGTGGGGGTGCGGAGGTCGGGGGTCTAGCATCCTTTGCACCTTCCTTCTCCCTAATGACTGCAGTCTGAGATTTCCCTCCCCTACAGACGACTAGTTAACCTTCCCTTGAGTTTCCGGGTTGTGATGCGGTAGGTTCCCTCCTTCAGAGTGAGCACAGACCACGCGGATCCCAGCTTTTCTGCCCTTTCTTCAGTGTCTATCATTTCTTCATCCCCTGCTGCCCCACTCGGGTGTCCAGGATCAAGCTGTGCTGGACCCAGTGCTTTTCACCTGAGTTTTGGGACAGCGTCTCTCACTGAACCTGAAGTTCACTGTTTCAGCTAGACTGGGTGATGGGTGAACGCCAGGGATCTTCCTGTCTCTGCCTTCCCAGTGCCAGAATCCCAGATATAAACCATCAGGCCTGGCTTTTCACATGGGTGCTGGGGATCCACTCTTATCCCTGTTCTGTTAGCAAGGCGGCTGCCAAAAGGTGTCCCTGCTCTCTTCTTATGCTATGGTCTGGCCTGCCGAGCTGCGGAGACCCCGGAGAATTACCACTGAGGGAGACCAATTTATAGATTTATACCTTACACTTCTATACACCTGTAATGCCGGCACTCTAGGAAGCTGAGGTAGGAGGGTTGTGAGTTCAAAGCTGGCCTGGGCCTCCTTGCGAGGCTCTGTTTCTAAATAAACAAACCCAAACCAACACCAAACAAAAGAACAAAGAGTGAGTTACGGTTTCACAAGAGGTTGCTTCTGTGAGCATTTCCTGTCAGAAGTCAGAAGTATGACTCTCTGCACGGCACTACGGCACTACGGTGACCTGCGCCAGAACCAGTCCTTGCTCAGGAATGCTGCCTATGTTCTACAATGAATAGGATGCTGCCTGCCAGGGATTAAGCATGGCTGCAGAACCGGGGTGACTCCTTGCTTTATAGGCCTTTCTCCCTGAAAGCCAACTCTGTTCCCTGACCCTCTGGAACAGGAGAAGGCCCTCCGGCACACACAGCAGTGAGTGAGTGGCATCTCTGTCCTCAGCTCCATTCCCAGGTCCTTTGGGAAGCCAGGCCTGGAGTGTGCTTGGCAGTGAGGAGGTTTATTGAACAGAAAGCAGCTCCACGGCTGGAGATAAAACCTATCCCTCTCCTCGTTCTGTCAAGCAGAGACTTCTCTTTCTCTCTGATTCGGCAGACATGTTGTTTCAGATGATGGTCATTAAAGCCAGATGTGAGCCTCTTCAAACTCACAACCTGGCAGAGTTGTGAGTGCTCTTGGCGTTTCCACGAGTGAGCTTTTCTAGTGAAGATGAACGTGCTTGAGCTGGCACAGTTGGATTTTCATGCTGTGTTTGCATGTGTCTTAATTGGAATTCCCAAGTATTCTTTTTTCTTTTTCCTTTGAGATAAGGTTTCAGTGTGTAGACGTGGCTTGTTTGGAACTCTCTGTGTAGACCAGGTTGGTCTCAAAACTTACAGAGCTCTGCCTGCCTCTGCCTCCCGAGTGCTGGGATTAAAGGCATATGTACTACTTTGTCCTGCTTTTGTGGTACATTTTAAAGTTAAGGGTCCAGGCTGAGAATAGGGCCTTGGGCATTATACTACATACCAGAACCCTTTATTAGAGACTTTTTTGCTATTCCTTACTAATCTTATTTCCAGATCCTCCCAGCCACGGTTCACTCAACCCCTGTAACTGGTTTAGTTTTCCTAAGCACAGCTCTGATTAGATTTCTCTTTTTTTCTGCAAAACTTCAACAACTCCCCATTCCTCATAGTAGCAAGTGTACCCTGCCTTCAGTGTCTTCCAGAACATGGCTCAATTTCTTCTGCTATCATCTATGCTTAATCAAATCAGATATGTTTCTGTATTTTAGCCAATGAGGCCTCGTTGATTAAAAACATGGTATGTGTTTGCTTTGTTTTGCTTTTGCGACAGGGTCTCCTTATGCAATCCTGGCTGGCCTGGTACTTACTGTGTAGACCAGGATGGCCTCTACGTTACAGTTCTGCTACGGTTACAAGCTTGTAAAACCTGGATGCAGATTAGGTTCTTATTGTGGAATGACTTATAGTTTCTTAGTGGAATTCGTCATTAGAGCAAAAGACGGAGACAAAAATGTGCTCTCTCATAGAGGAAGGATTCTGTACTATCTAATGTAGAACAAATTTCCCGGTAAATAAAGTCCAGGGACTGTTGGTCACGAGCCTCTGTAGGTGGGGTTTCCTGTTCCACCAACCAGATCCCAAATAGCCACACAGAAATTTAATGCTAGTTATAAATGCTTGTCTGATAGCTCATGCTTATTACTATCTAGCTCTTACAACTTAACCATATATATTAATCTACATTCTGCCACATGGCTTTACTTCACTTTCATCCTGCACCTCCTGGTTCCTCTCTGTGTCTCACTGGTGACTCCTCTGATTCCCCCCTTCTTCCCAGCGTCCTTAGTCTGGTTCTCCTGCCTAACCCTATCCTGCCCAGTTTTGGGCCTGTCAACTTCTTTACTAAACCAATTACAGTGACATATAGTCACACAGTGTAAAGGAATAGTCCACAAACATCCTTCCTCCTGATTGTTCCGTTCTCCCTTTACCTCATTGACTACCACCCGACCTCAGACTCAGTCCTGACTCCCATGCCCAGTCCCTCTGTTATCCTTTCTTCCCATGACAGGCTCCCACTGATGCCTTTGGATTCTTGTTCTCTTGGGAGTAATTTTTCCATCTCAAACAGTGGCCAGAACGGTCCTCCTTCAACTCCACTTGGATCCTGTAATGCAACCATAAAGCTGTTGCCGTAGGGCCAGGCAGTGGTGGTGCACACCTTTAATCCCAGCACTTGGGAGACAGAGGCAGGTGGATCTCTGAATTCGAGGCCAGCCTGGTCTACAAGAGTAAGTTCCAGGACAGTCAGGACTGTTACACAGAGAAACCCTGTCTTGAAAACACAATCAATCAATCAAATAAAAAGATTTGTCTATATAGGACAGTATGCTACTGCTGTGGCTAGGCCTGTCATTACCACAGCCTGCTTTGATTCTGGTGCCCCTGTGTCCCTTCACCCTGGATTTTAGCAGTGTCTCATCTTGGCCTGTTGGGGTGTAGACAGCCTGAGGAGCCATATTGGTATCTCCCTTAGGCCGTGCAATGGTCCAGAGAAGGTGGAGGTTTCTCTGGAACCCTGCTGCCCCTAGCCCAGGAAACACAAAGGAAGTTAGCTCTAGGGCTGACTCTGGGTTTTTTGTGCCTGGCTTTTCCCAAGTTCATTTCTGGGGTCTTTTTTTTTTTTTTTTCCAGTTTGGAACCCTCTCTTTGTCACTTGGCCCAGCTTCTTTTTTTTTAATGTCTTATTTCCTCCTTTATTTTTTCTCTTTTTTAAATTGATATTTATTGAGATCTACGTTTTTCTCTGCTCCTTTCCCTGCCTCTCCCCTCCCCCCTTCAACCCTCCCCCAAGGTCCCCATACTCCCAATTTACTCAGGAGATCTTTTTCTACTTTCTACTTCCTATGTAGATTAGATCTATGTAAGTCTCTCTTAGTGTCTTCATTGTTGTCTAAGTTCTCTGGGACTGTGGTTTGTAGGCTGGCTTTCTTTGCTTTATGTTTAAAAACCACCTATGAGTGAGGACATGTGATAATTGTCTTTTTGTGTCTGGGTTACCTCACTCAAAATAATGTTTTCTAGCTCCATCTATTTTCCTGCAAAATTCAAGCTGTCATTATTTTTTCTGCTGTGTAGTACTCCATTGTGTAAATGTACCCCATTTTTCTAATCCAGTCTTCAGTCGTGGGGCATTTAGGTTGTTTCCAGGATCTGGCTATGACAAACAAAGCTGCTATGAACATAGTTGAGCACATGTCCTTGTGGCACGATTGAGCAGCCTTTGGTGGATATATACCCAAAAGTGGTATTACTGGGTCTTGAGGAAGAGTGTTTCCTAATTTTCTGAGAAATTGCCACACTGACATCCAAAGGGGTTGTACCAGCTTGCATTCCCACCAGCAGTGCAGAAGTGTTCCCTTTACCCCACAACCTCTCCAGCATAAGTTGTCATCAGTGTTTTTGATCTCGTTGGCCCAGCTTCTTATCTACCTTGTTTAAACGTGACAGTGGAGCACCCGACATGCCCTTTCAGCTGTCTGCAGATGTTGCACCAGGAATTGCCCATGAAGCACAGTTTGAATATGGTTACTTCTCCATAAAATCTATAAGGCTTTAGGAAGCTGCATGAGGCAGGAACTTCTGGAGAAAATTAATCTACATATGCAATGAACAGGTTAATGGACTATCTAGGCTGTGAGTCGCTAGGTTCCCTGGATGTCTCTTGCTATGGATGCCCCATGCCTCCTCCCAACCCTGCAGCAAGTGAGCCACCACCAGATGTTGTCTTTAACCTGGACCAATCGACTGCCAAAGTTAGCCTCTCTCTTTTGCAACTTGCCTAGCCTATGCTACTGTGTTATCAGCAACAGAGAACAGACCAAGGCAGAGAGAGGAGGCGTCGGTCTGAACCAGTAGCCTTTTGCCACATGCAAAAGAGCTTAGACTTTATCCCTAGCCATGGGGTTTGGGGTGGAGAGGTGCAGGTAGGGCAGGAAGGGAACAGTATTTCAGTGGGGGGTTGTAAAATAAATTCCGTTTGTCAGGAGCTGTGGGTGTGAGACTGAGGACCGAGGTGAGGGAGGACATCAGTACTGAGTCCTGGCCTTCATGTCACAGGTGGGCAGATAAGAGAGTAAGAAGGTCGGGTTCTGGGTCTGCACAACCAAAGCTCACAGACACTTGTGGGTCTGTGGACTAGGGGGGGTCTCAGACCTGTCTCCCCACATCACGCCTCGCTGCATCCTGAAGCTGGCAGAGCCCAGCACACAGCAGGACGCTGCCTTAGTTTTGCTCAATCCGGAACCTGTCGGTCTCGGAGTTGCAGTCTCAGCTCAGCCTGTAGCTCTGCCGGTGCTACTTTCTCTGCCAGTCTGCAAAGTGCTCTGCTGTCTCTTAGGAGGTGACAGGAAGTGCAACTAATTGGTGTTTGTGGAGTGCTCGGAAGCCCCCAGACAAAACACCGTAAGCTAGGGTTGCTCGTTCAGGGCGGGGCCTGGGCTGGTGTGCTCTGTGAGGGCTGAGTGGGTGTGCTCTGTCATGATGCCACATGAAGATACTCCTCTCCTCCCAGTTTCTTCTCTGGAAATATCATTTAGGAAAAATTTAAAATATAGAGCTATACAGAGAATAAAATAATGAACAGCCATGGTACCTTTCAACCCCAAATGAACAAATACCAACAGTTTCACAATTAACATCTTGCTAGAATTTAGAGAGAAAGAGAAAGGAGTGCGGAGAGAGTGAGCAATGGGTTAAACCCAGGGCCCTGCAACTTTTGGGCAAAGGCTCCAACCCTGGCTCTTAAAATATCTTCTCCATTCCATCTATGTGTTTGGACTTAAAAACTAATTCTTTATTTTTAAAGGAATTTATTTATTTAATTTTATGTATATGAGATAGATAGTCCTCTATCTGCATGTACACCTTAATGCATGAAGAGGGCATCAGATTTCACTAGAGATGGTTGTGAGCCACCATGTGGTTGCTGGGACTTGAACTCAGGACGTCTGGAAGAACAGCCAGTGCTCTTAACTGCTGAGCCATCTCTCCAGCACCCTAAAAAGTAATTCTTTTTATGATTAAATTTCAGTGTGTGTGTGTGTGTGTGTGTGTGTGTGTGCCCGCGCTGGCACCTGCAGAGGCTAAAGGAGAGTCTGGGGTTCCCTGAAAATGGAGGTACAGGAGGCTGTGAGCCAACCAGTGTGGGAGAAGCCCACTCTGGTCTTCTGAAAGATCAGCAAACCACTCTCGATGGCTGAACCATTTCTTCAGCCCTGACCCTTGTCTGTTTTTAAAAGAAAAGAGATAAAGCATTCCCGTCCTGCTCTGCCCTGCTGCCCATCTGTCCACTCACCAGCCAGCCACTCACCCTCAGGGTGACCACTGTCATAGCTGTGTGTCCCCTACGTCCTCCTTTCATGTGTATAACAGGACAGTGTGAGCAGACGGTGCGGGGTTGAAGTCAGTTCGTCAGGTCTGGAGATCCGGGGGCTTCTGCTTTTAACTGTGTTCTCTGGTCTCTGTGAACCTAAGTCTCCCCATCTTTACTGGGGCAGTTTTGGGCCAGTGACATTGCTGTTCTTCTTGGAACAGCAATGAATTGCAGTTCTTCATACTGGCAAATTGCTGGGCTCAATAAATGACAGCATTTCCCTTCTCTCTCTTTTTTCTATATGGAAAAGTCGTGGAGAACTTTCTGGAACCTGTAGTCCTTTGTACCGTTCCTGGGGTCCCCAGGTCACTGCAAGGCTGAGTGACTGTCCCTTAAGGAATGTTTGGACACTTCCGTGCTTCAGGTCAGGCTCACCTAGGTTTAGCGCAGAAGCTAATTCTACTTTGGAGACCCTGCTAGAACGGTTGGGGTGTCCTGAGAGGAGTGGCTGCCATGAGAAGAGGTTTGGAGTCTTCCTCCCAGGTCCCGCTCCATTTCAAGCTTCAGGTGAGTTGTGTGGTGGCATGGGAGGCAGAGACTCAGAACTATGCCGGTCATTTTGTTTTCCTTAATTCTACTGTTGAGGGTTCAGGTGATTTTCTAACCTAGCAGCCTCCAGCAGTGAACCTCCAGGGAACAGATGTCTGTCTCCAGCAAGCGACAGTAGGGGGCGCCAAACCCGCACAATTTGGCCCGCGGACCCTGCCTGGCAGTGACTGGCCCCGAGGCACCCCCTTTTCTGGACATTTCGCATAGATTCCCACAGCGGTGCAGCAGAGAACACACTTTGTGCAGGCGACAAACAGCCCTCTTGTCCCAGCCGTTGCCTTAGAGAGTCGCAGGGGCCTTCACCCCACAGACAGAATCATCGTGTCAGCTTAGATTTCTGTTAGCTCTTAAGGCAGGTCCAGAGTCCAGGACCCCGGGGATGATGTACCAGAACCGGGCCATGCTTGTCCAACCCCTAAAGTTATTTCAAAGGCTTTGCAATGTTTTCATTTGTACACAAACTGGGAAAAGCTGCGGAGTTTTGGCCCCGAGCGTTTAAGGCTGTCCTTGGTCAAACACATTTCCAGTTCTCCTCCCCGGGAGTTGACACACAAATCTACTTGCCAACATTTGCTTAGTAATTTATCTCCCAGGCTTGCAAAAGTTATATAAAGAAGCCAACTACCCCGGGTGAGACTTTTATGTTTTTGAAATATATATATATATATATAATTAGCATTGGGACCCAAGAGACAGTTCAGCTTTAAGAGCCAGTATTTAAGAATTGTTGCAAGCACAGGACCCAGTACTCACAAGGGGAGTTCATAGCTGCCTGTAACTCCAGCTCCGGGGTTATCTGGATTCCTTTGATTGTCACAGGCACCTGAGCTCACATACACCTGCCTACCCCTCTCTACACATAATGTAAACAAATCTTTAAAAAAAGAATCAGCATCAATATAGAAGCTCCTCACCCCCCATCCTCCTCCTCTGCACTGCTTTCCACAGCTTTGCTTTTCTCCTGTGGGGCAGAGGCCTGAGGGAGGACTGAGGCGGAGGACTGAGGCGGAGGACTGAGGTGGAGGACTGAGGCGGAGGATTGACGTGTCTTAGTTCTCCCACATTCACATTTCGGTGAGTCACAGATCTGAGATCTGGCTGGAGTCCTTATGACTCCAGCAGGATCAAAGTCCAGTTAGACTGGCAGGGTTTTGACAGAGTTCTGAAGTAACCATTGCCCGGACTTTGCCTCCTTTTGCAGTGTTGGCGGTAACTGTTTGGACAGATAATAATTGTTCCTCTTTATGGGGAGAGTTTGATCTCTGAGGATATTTATGTTCCTTATGATATCCATTCTTTTTGTGAAAAGAAATTCAAAATATCTCCCAGCTACTTTGACTCCTATAGCAGAACACTGCTATCCTGCCATGTGTGACTCGGTACCAGAACCTTTCTCTTTCTCCTTTGCATTCTCAGCTCGTGCTTTATTGCTAAAACACATCCGTACAGGTGCAGAAACTCTCACCTCAGGTTTCTTTTCCAGAGAGGCAGATTTCTTCCAGACTCCCGAGGACGCAGAGATTAGGAAGCTGCCTTTTGTAGCGCTTCAAACACTCAGTGCGGCTCTTTTCACGTGGCTTCGCACTCCAGTGGAATGGAAGGTTCGTAGAAGAGCGGGTGAACAGCAGCGCCTGTACTTGAAGGGCAGACGTCCTACCACTTTCCGGTAGATTACGTGCATATCCTTAGTCCTTTTTAGTTATAGGGATGGGTGGGTTTAAGGTTAATGCCCAGACTAGTTATGTTAAAGACTGGTAACATGCTAACAGAGTATCAGTGCTGAGGCCTGGCCCCGGGGCCTAACTACGTGTTTAAGAGCTATATCCAAAGCAAAATAAATAAGTAAGTAAATAAATAAATAAATTTAAAAAGCATATTTAAATTAAGTACACAGCACACCATTACCAAAGGTATCAAAATGTTTTGGAAATCATCAGTAATCATAACTATATTCTGACTTAAAAGGTGTTTAGAAGTCTGAGCTCTACCAAATACACGTTTAATTTTCCTGTGTGATGTTTTAATTGACTTTGGTAGACTATTAGGAAGAGTGTGAGAATTAAGAACTCTGACCTTACATCTTTAATGGCCGGCAGATAGGTCAGTAAGTGGCAAAGAACATTTCTATTTGGGACACATTACCACCTTTTTCTTTTATGGGGCTGAGACCGTATCCACTAGCCAGTCTCTTTTTATCCCTCCCCTCCTGTTCCTGACCTCTGGACCACTGTTCTATTTTCTACTTCTGTGAGCTCAGCGCTTTCAGAGGTGTGAAGAATGCAGCATATATCTTTCCGTACTTGGCTTAGTTCACTATTATGATCTCCAGGTCTACCTATGTTGCCCAGGTGATGGGATTTTATTCCTTTATTACAGCTGAATAATTATCCCTTCCTGTGTGTGTATGCAGATGTGTGCACGTGGGCCACGTTGTTCTTTCATTTGTTACTAGACAATTCAGTTGATTCCATGTCTTGGCTGTTGCGAATAGAGTTACAGTAATGTAGGTGTTGCAGGTGTTTCTCTAGAGCGATTCATATCTCTCAGCTATAAATCCTATAGTGGTAATGCTGCACCATGTGGTATTTCTATTCTTAATACTTTTTGAGGCAGGGTCTCACTGTGTAGCCATAGATGGCTTGTAATTCACTATGTAGACCAGGTTGGTCCCAAACTCACAGAGATATGCCTGCCTCTGCCTCCCGAGTGCTGGGGTGTTTTTAATATGTTGAGCAATCTCCATGTTTTTGTAGTGACTGTACTGGTTTATCTCTTTCTCCACGTTCTTACTAACATTTGTTGCCTGATTAGACCCATTCTAAGTGGGGGGGATATCTTATTGTAGTTTCAATTTGTATTTCTATGATGATTTAATGGTAAATATTTTTAAATATTTTGGCCGTTTGCATGTTTTCTTTGAGAAATTTCCATTCAGATAATTCTCCATCTATCTATCTACCTATCTATCTATCTATCTATCTATCTATCTATCTATCTGTCTGTCTATCTATCTATCTATCTATCTATCTATCTGGTGGTATTAGGGATTGAACCCAGGGCCTTGTGCTTGTTAGGCAAGCAGTCTGCCAGAAAGCGATATTCCCAGCTCTTGGGCCCACTTTTATTGATTGATCATGATTTGTTACTGTTTTTGAATCTTTGCACATTCTGGTACCGTCTGGATAGCTCACAGAGCTCCGTCTGTAAGTTGCCTCTTCACTCTGTCTATTGTCTCTTTGCTGTGCAGACACTTTCAAAGTGATAATGTCATCCCATTCGTCTATTTTGGTTTTGTTGCCTGCGCTTTTATTTTCCTGCCTAACAAAAATACTTGCCCAGACTACTGCCATAGGCCCTTTACCATATTTTTTCTTTTATTGGTTTCTATGATTTGGGGATTTTACATTTAAGTCTTGAAAACACTTTGAGTTCTTCTTTCCTATACTGGAGGTCGAACCCAGGGCTTTGCCCATGTTAGGCAAACATTTTACCACTGAGTAATACCCCTGGCCTATTGATTAGATTTTTGTATGTAGGGGCCTAGTTTCATCCTTGTAGCATAATTAATAAAACCTCAGAGACAGATATTGGGGTTCAGCCTGAAGGTCAGAAAGCAAAACAGTTGGCCATTGGCTCTTACCTCTACCTCAGTCCCAAATGGCGATCCTGCCTTCAGGAATCTCAGAATGAGACTGTGTGAGTGCCGTCTCCTCCTGTCTTATATTCCTCTCTAGGGATGGGAGTAAAGGCATGCACCACTACTGCCCTGTTTCTATGGCAACTAGTGTGGCTACTGGGATTAAATGTCACCACTGCCTGGCCTGTAAGGCAGCTGTTTCACTCTCTGATCTTTAGGCAAGCTGTATCTATTAAAATACATATGAATTATCACTATAATCATAGCACCATTTATTTAAATATGTTATTGCGAAGGGAGTGTCTGGACACCTTTGTTAGAAATATTTGGCTGTGCGTTCTTTCTTTCTGGGTCTTCCCTTACATTCCATTGGACATAATGGAATATTGTATATACAATATATATGTATATATTATATATAATATATGTATAGTATATGTACATATAGTATATGTATACTATATATACTATAGTATATATAGTATATTGGACACAATATACTAGCGTCAGGCTGTTTAGATTACTGTAGTTTAGGAATTTGTTTTAAATTCAGGCCATAAGATTCCTCTGTCTGTAAGTTGCTTTGCAAGCTCTTCTTTTTTTTTTTCATCCAACATCCAAAACTTTTTTTTTTTTTTTTTTTTTTAAATAACAGTGAGATCCAGGGTTACAGGGTTAGTTTTTATAGCCACGGCTGGCCCTTCTGCCTCTGGCACGTTCAAACTTCAGGCCATTGGAGCAGACATTGAGTTTGGTATGGCTGCGTAGAGTTCCTGGGGCCTTGCCAAATGCTGGTACACATCTCGGCTCTTCCGAGATGCAGACAGTAGCACAGTGCCACGGCCCTTAGGAGACTCCAGGGTCAGCTTTGAATGTGAACTCCTGACATGCACATGTGCATTTAAGGTAAATTTGTGCCTTTATAATGGTTTGTTTCATTGCTGTCGTTAGCTACTTAGGATGAGATCTCTCATTTCCGATATGCAGAGCATGGTAACTGACATACTTTTTGGTTAACTTGTGGGACCTGAATACTTGCCAGTGTTGTCCCTGGGGATGTGACTGATACAGACTCGCCAGCTCTCCCTTCCTCTCGTCTGCCTTGTGCACGGAAGTGTACTTCAGCCACGGAAGTTTTAGAGCGGAAAACCTTTCTACATCTTGCACAGTTTGAGATGTGTAGAAAGTAGATCTTGTGTAGACCCATTTACCTGGGCTGTCTGTGAGGGTTGGTTCTCACTGGGGAGAGAAGCAGGAGGTGAGGCTGCCGTGTTCCTCAGAGTCCCACAGGGTCCTGATGGTTTGTGAATGGTGAGGGTGGGACCAAGTGAAGCCTTGAAGGCCATTGCTTATAGCAAGTAGTTCTTGATTTTGGCTTAAAATTTTTATTAATAATTTTTTTTTACTTTGTTGGACATAGTGACACTGTCTTTAATCCCAGCACTCGGGGGCTGAGGCAGGCAGCTCTCTGTGAGTTTGAGGCCAGCCTGTCTATATAGCAAGTTCTAGGCCAGTCAGGTATACACAGTGGGATACGCTTCCAGAATTTGTTTTAGGGCTGGAGAGATGGCTCAGAGGTTAAGAGCACTGAATGCTCTTCCAGAGGTCCTGAGTTCAATTCCCAGCAACCACATGGTGGTCTACAACCATCTGTAATGAGATCTGGTGCCCTCTCTGGCCAGCAAGCATACAGACAGACAGGACACTGTACACATAATAAATAAACAAATCTTAAAAAAAGCAACCAGACTTTGTTTTAGTTGTTTTATAAAACAATGAGTTCCATTATGACATTTCATTGTGCTGTGCTCATATTGACCCCTCTATTCTCTTTTGCCAGCCTCTCCCTCTCACTGGTCCCCAAAGCACCCTGTAGTCTTTCTTCTGCTTTTATGTCAAGTGTGTATGTGTATTTATTGTTTGGGTCAGTTTTTTGGTGTTTAGTTTTTGAGTTCTTTATATATGCTAGGTATTAATATTGTGCTGGCTAGTTTTCTGTCAACTTGACATGTGTATATATATGTATGAGTGTGTATGCATGTGTATATGTATATATCTGTATTTGCATGTGCATGTGTGTATGCATGTGTGTATATGTGTAGGTGTGTAAGTATGTGTATACGTGTGTATGTATGTGCATGTGTATGTGTGTATATGTATACATATGTATATGTATGTGCATGTGTGTGTATGTATGTGTGTGCATGCATATAGGTCAGAGAACCTTGTGGAGTTGTTTTCTCCTACTTTTTTTGTGTGTGGTTTTTCAAGACAGGGTTTCTCTATGTAGCTTTGGAGCCTGTCCTGGAACTAGCTCTTGTAGACCAGGCTGGCCTCTAACTCACAGAGATCCGCCTGCCTCTGCCTCCTAAGTGCTGGGATTTGATTAAAGGCATACACTACCACTGCCCAGCTCTCTTTCTACATTTAAAGGGTTCTGGGGATTAAACTCAAGATAGTCAAGCACGTATGGCAAACGCTTTATCCACCGAACCATCTTGCTGGCCCTGATATGCATTTTCTTGATTTCTAAGGATGTTGAACTTTTAAAAATATATTTATTGCCCATTTGTACTTATCTTTTAAGAACTGTATTATTTATTTCATTATTCCATTTATTGTTTGGGTCAGTTTTTTGGTGTTTAGTTTTTAAAAGAGTTCTGTATATGTGCTAGATATTAATATTGTGCTGGCTAGTTTTCTGTCAACTTGACACAAGCTAGAGTTGTCTTAGCGGAGGGAGCCTCAACTGAGACAATGCCTCCATAAGACTGTCCTGTAGATTATTTATTGATATGGGAGGGCCCAGCCCTTTATGTATGGTGCCACCCCAGGCAGGTGGTCTTGGGTTGTGTAATGCCATGGGGAGCAAGCCAGTAAGCAACATTTCTCCATTGAAATGTTTCAATTTCTTCATTTTTTCAGGACATGTTCTTTCAGGACATTGCTTCAGGTCCTGCCTCCAGGTTCCTGTCTTGAGTTCCTGCCCTGAATTCCCTCAGTGATGGAGTGTGGCCTGAGAGCTGTAATATGAAATAAATCCTTTCTTCCACAGATTGCTTTTGGTCATGGTGTTTATTACAGCAGTAGGAACCCTAACCAAGACAAATGCATAGCAGCTAAGATTTTCTCCCGTTCCATAAGCTGTATTTTTACTTGATTAATCATTTCATTTTCTACGACTTTTTGAAATCAATTTATTTGATGTGTATATGTGTACCTGAGTTTGTGCCCCATGTACATTCAGGAGCCTGCAGAGATCAGAAAAGGCATCAGATTCCCTGGATCTGGAGCTACAGACAGTTGTGAGCTGCCTGTGGCTGCTGAATAGAAATCTGGGTCCTCTGCAAGAGCAATAAGTGTTCTTAACCCCAGCGCCATCTCTCCAGACCCTAAGGAAGCTTTTACATTTCACGAAATTCCATTTGGCACTTCTGGTGCTATTGTGGCCTTTCTTAGGAAGTGCATGTCTATGCTGTTTCTTTGCAGCAGTGTCTCAGTATCAGGTCTTACATGAGGTTGTCTGATCCATTCTGAAATGACTTATTTATGGAATGAGTGATAAGAATCCATCTTCATTTTTCTATGTGTAGAAACCCAATTTTCCCGGGGCATCTGTCACAGAGGAATCCCTTTTTCTTTTCCTTTGGGACCTTTATTAAAAGTAAGGTGGGTTTATTTCTGGGTCTGCTATTCTATTCCATTAGTCGACCTGTCTATTTTTGTAACAGCACCATGCTGGTTTTGATACTATGCTCAGAGGTATAATTTAAATCAGGTATTGTGATTTTTGCTCCTTATACATTGTTCTCTGTACTCTTCCTCTTTGGAATTGCTTTGGCTCTTTGAGTCGTCAGTACTGCTGTGTAGACTTCTAGATGGTTATTGCCAGTTCTGTGAAGACTGTCGTTAGAATTTGATGGAGGTTACCTTTGATAATATAGCCATTTTCAAAATATTAACTCTGCCAGTTTATAAGCTTGGAAGGTCTTCCCATTGTCTGTTGCCCTCTTAACTTTTTCCCTAGAGTCTTAAAGTTTTCACTGTGGTGTCTGTGGGGTCCTTTAACCTCCTTGATTAGGTTTATTCCTAGACTGTTTTTAAAGGCACAGTGAATGTGACTTTTCCTGGTATCTTTTTGGAAAGTTCGTTATTGGTGTTTAGAAAATTTACTGAATTTTGCATGTTGATTTTTTTTTCTTGTCCTGGTACTTCTCTGAAAGCATTTATCAGATCTATGAGTTTTCTGGTAGAATGTTTAGGAATTTTAAAGTATAGGAAGGAGCATATCATTTGAAAATATGAACAATTTCAGATCTTCTATTTGTATTCTTTTTATTTCTTTCTATTATTTTACCAATGTAGCCAAGACTTCAAGCAACATAAGAGTGGAGAGGGTGGGCACATTGTCTCATTTCTGATTTTAAAAGTAATAGTTTCATTTCTTTAATAATCTGAAAAGTTTTAACTAAAGTAGAATTGCATTATTTCCTTTTCCCCCCTCCAACTACTTTCATGTCCTCTCCTTCCAGTTCCTCTCATGTTGCCCCTCACCTCCTTTCAAACTTGTGTCTTCTTTTTCTTAATTATTGTTATTTGTTAGGGACTTGTTCCAGGGAAAGACTACTTCTTCCTCTCTCAGTTGTCAGTAGTTGCTTGTGGTTTTTCGTTTAGAGGTGGCCCCTTGAGATTTCTCCCTTCCGTGTGAACACGTGTTGTCATTATTTGGGTCTTGTTTAGGAGGCCATATTGTTATGGTGTCAGGTGTAGCTGCCCTGTCATTTCTAGGAGGCACAATCAGCTAACAAACTCTCGTTCCTCTGGGCCTTACAGTCTTTCTGCTCCCTCTTCCTTATGTGCACTGATGTGCACTTGATGTGCTCCTTGATATGCACTGAGCCTTAGGTGTAGGCGATAGTTATGCTGTAGGTGTACCTGTTGGGTTGGACTCTCTGTGACTAGTTGTTCTCTGTGTTTTGACCTGTGTGGCTTTCTGAGACGGTCTCTATCTCTTGCAAAGAGAAGCTTTTTAGATTAGCCGTGAGAGCTACATCAATCAAGAAAAGGAGGCTCATAGACAAGAAGAAATGTTTTAGAATTTCCCTGTTAGTATAATTTGGCTTTAGTTTCCTGGTATACAGCCCTACCATGTTGAGGTCTGTTCTTTGTATCTCTAGTTTCTATCATGAAGAGATAATGAACTTTGTCAAGAACCTTTCCTCTGTTTATAGAGATGATTTTGTGATTTCTGCCTTTGAGTTTATATATGTGCTAGATTACATTTATTGATTGTGTACAAACTGAAATGAAACCAACTTGGCCATGGTATATTATCTTTTTAATAAGTAGCTGAATTCATTTTGCCAGCATTTTATTGATTTTTTTATTTATATGTGTGCTCATCAGGGGAATTGGTTTATAGTTTTAGTTTTCTAATTTTTGTGTGTGCTATATCCATATCCAGTTTTGTTATCAGGTAATATTGATTTCATGAGATAGGTTTTTGTCTGGCAGCAAGTCCATGTGATCTGGGCTTTTCTTTGCTGGGTGACTGGTTACTGCAGATTTGTTCTTGTTGCTCACTGTACGCCTTAGGTTATTAATATCCTCTTGATTTACTTTGGGTTGGTCATAATGTGTAGAGGAGCTTACCTGTTTCTTCTGAATCTTTTTTTTTATTTTTATTTTTTGAGACAGGGTTTCTCTGTAGCTTTGGAGCCTGTCCTGGAACTAGTTTTTGTAGACCAGGCTGGCCTTGAACTCACAGAGATCCACCTACCTCTGCTTCCCAAGTGCTGGGTTTAAATGAGTGCACCACCACCGCCTGGCCTCTTCTGAATCTTCAGCTTTTTAGAACACACAGTTTTAAAAATGCTTTCTAGTGATCCTCTGGATTTCAGTGGTATTTACTATAACACAATCCCTAATTTATTAAATTGGTTTTTCCTCTCTTTTATTTGGTTAGAATGGTTAAGACTTATCTTGTGTATCGTCACAAAGAATTACCTATTTTGTTTTATTTTGATTCTTTGTATTATTGTTCTAATCTTTACTTAATGAATTTTTGCCTTGGTCTTTATTATTTCTTTACATTCACTGAGTTTGGGTTTGACTCATTCCTGTTTTTCTAAGAACTTGAGTTGCATCTTTCAGTTACTTACTTGAGTTTCCTCTGATTTTCTTCAATGTTAGTATTCATATCCATAAACCTACCTCTTAGAACTGCCATTATTGCATCCCAGCCATTCTAAGCTACACTTTCATTTCCATTTGGTTCTAGGAATTTTTAATTTTCTTCCCGATTTCTTCAGTGACCCATTGATCATTTAAGAGTGTTTGTTCAATTTATATGTGTTATTAGTCAGGGTTCTCTAGAGGACCAGAACCAATAGAATGAATTCATATAAAAGGAGATTTGTTAAATTGGCTTGCACAGAGTGATCTGGGTAGAAAAGTAATGGCTGTCTCACCCTGGAGAAGTCGAGAACATAGTAGGTGCTCCGTCCACAAGGCTGGTTGTCTCAGCAGTTCCAATCTCAAGCCGAAGACCCCTGGGGTCCTGGAGAGCTTCTGGGTTTGAGTCTATGCTGCAAGCTCAAACACGCTGTTTCTAATGTCACAGAAGGAACAGTGACAGAAACGATGAACTTGCCAGCAAGAGTGTGAGCAAGCAGGCAGAACACAGCTTTCCTTCTTCTGTGTCCGTTTAGCTGGACTGTCAGCAGAAAGCACTACCCACGCTTAGGCTGGGTCTTCCCACTTCAAACAGCATGGTTGAGAAAGTCTCTTATAGGAGTGCCCAACGGCTTGGTTGTATCGATCCCAGATCCATCCACTCAAATTGACAACTAAAATTAACCATCACATTGTGTGTTTGTACAGTTTCTTCTGCTATTAGTGTGTCCCACTGTGATCTGATAAGATACAAGAAGCAATTTTGTCAGTCTTAGTGGCCACACCTTTAATCTTATACTTGGGAGGCTGAGGCTGTCTCAAGTTTGAGGTCAGTCTGATCTATGTAGTGAGTTTCAGGCCAGTCAAGCTACACAGTGAGACCCTGTGTCAAAAAAGAAAAGAAAAAATGTTGAGTCTTCTGTATTTGTTAAGATTTGCTAGCTTGGCTTAGTGGCCCAGCAATTAGTCCTAGTTACTTGGGAGGCTGAGACAAGAGGCTTGCAAGTTGCAAGCCTGCCTGGGCTACAGAGAGAGTTCAAGACTAACCTGGGAAAGTTAGTGAGGACTTGTCTCAAAATGCACAGTAAAAAATGCTCTGTGGAGTTGGGTGGTGATGGCACCCTCCTTTAATCCTAGCACTCAGGAGGCAGAGGCAGTTGGATCTCTGTGAGTTCGAGGCCAGCCTGGTCTATAAAGGAAGTTCCAGGACAGCCTGGAACTGTCTCTAAAAACCATAAAAAAGGATAAACGAAAGTTCTGTGGGTTTAACTGAGGTCTACAGTGCTTGCCCAGCAAATGTAAGGCCCTGAATCCAATCTGCAGTACACACATGCACACGCGCACGCACACACGCACACACACACACACACACACACACACACACACACACACACACACAGGGAGAGGGGAGAGGGAGAGACTGACTTGTGGCTCAAGGTGTGGTCTGTTTTAAAGAAGAGCTCCGTGGGCTGCTGGGAAAGACGTGTTGTGTAGCTGTCGATGGGCATGTTTTACAGATTCCTGTTGTCTGTTTGGTCTCTGTTGTAGTCAAACTCCGAAGCTTGTAGATACTTTGGTTTGGATGATCTAGCTGTTGATGAATGAGGTTTATTTATTTGCTATTCTGAAGGTAGAGTTTATTGATCTAGTATTAGTTAATGAAGATGAGCAGCAAATTTAATATAATTTCTGCCAGACCCGGGGCTCATTTTCTACCTTCCATGTTTAGGAAGATATAAAAGAGGGGGAAGAGCATTCCTGACACTTGTGTGCTACCGCGGATCAGGCTGATCCTGTGGTGTGGTGCTTTCTCCTGGGAAGGGGAGTTTTTATTTATTTTTATTAAAAACATTTATTTTAAGTTTTTGCATCTAGATACTTTGCCTGAATATATGTCTATATGCAGTGCCTGAGGAGGCCAGAACAGGGTGTGGGATCCTCTGCAACTGGAGTTACAGATGAGTGTCAGCTGCTCTGTGGGCGCCGGGAACCAAACCCCGCCCGGTCCTCTACAAGAGCAGCCAGTGCTCTTACCACTGAGACATCTCACTTGTCCCCAGATTTTTTGCTTCTTTTTATTTTATTTTTAAAAATTCTTCAAGATAGGGTTTCCTTGTGTAGCCTTGGTTGTCCTGAAACTCACTTTATAGACCGGGCTGGCCCTGAACTCATAGAGCTCTGCCTACCTCTGCCTCCCAAGTGCTGGGATTAAAGGCAGGCACCATTACCACATGGCAGGTTTTGCTTCTTAATCTAATCAGATAGTTAGTATCTTTTAACTGGTGTACTAACCCTATTTACACATAGGGCTATGATTGACAAGCCCTATTTGCTGATCCTGGAACTTTGGTTAGTTATTTCCTGGTTCATATATGGTTATTTTATTTCTCTTTTATTCATATTATGGATTTTATTTACTGAGTTAGACATAATTGATTCCTGTCTAGTTCTTATTTATTCACATATTCCTTTCATGACATTTATTCTTTCCTGTGCTCTCATAATTAAGACTTTTCTTTCCTCCTCTGTGTGTAGGATTCCTCTGAGTGTCTTCTGTAATGCTTGTTTTGTGGCCATTAATTCCTTTAGTTTATTCTGTCTTGATATGTCTTTGTTTTTCAATATATATATATATTATACCTAGTCTTTCTGTGTATCTCTGAATGACTTCTATCTCAATATGATGCCCAGAAGGAAGTGCTCTTAATCACTGAGTCATCTCTCCAACCCTAAAGTCTTTGATCATTTTTAAAGTAGTCTTTTGAATTCTTTGTTTGGCATGCCATCCACTCCAGTATATCTGTTTCAGTATTTGGGGATCTGAGCTTCGGAAGGCATAATGTTGAGGATCTGAGCTTTTGGAAGGCATAGTGTTGGGATCTGAGCTTCAGAAGGCATAGTGTTGGGGTCTGAGCTTTGGAAGGCATAGTGTTGGGGTCTGAGATTCGGAAGACATAGTGTTGGGGTCTGAGCTTCGGAAGGCATAGTGTTGCTTTACTCTTTCATATTTCTTCAGTTTCTGTTTGTGATTTGTGTATCTGTTTGTATAGTCATTTTTTTCTAATTTATTTGAGGATATTTTCAGTGGGCAGACTACTCTTTTTTGTTTAGAACTAAGTTAAATTCTTTTTTAAATTAATTTTTAAATTCTTCTCTCATACATGATGCCCCATTGTGGTTTCCCCTCCCTCAACTCTTCTCAACTCTTCCCCCACCTTCCTTCTCCCCCAGATCTGCTCTTCCCATTTTCCTTAAAGAAAAAGGCAGGCCTCCCAGGGATAGCCACCAAATGTAGCATACCAAGTTACGATAAGACTAGGCACAAACTCTCATATCAAGGCTGGATGAGACAACCCGGTAGGAGGAAAAATGTCCCAAGTGCAGGCAAGAGTCAGAGACACGCCCCATTCCCATTGGTGGGAGTCCCACAAGAATACCAAGTTACACAACCACAATGTATATGCGGAGGATGAACCGGCTTTTCTTGGGGGTCAATCCACAGTACAAGTTAAAAAGAAGAAAAGAGAGCTCATGCAGCCGAGCAAGATACCCAAGGAAAAGAAGGTCAAGGGGAAAAAAGAGGCCTGGCTCCCTCCGTTGTGAAGAAACAGGAGGCCATAAAGGTAGTAAATCCTTTGTTTGAGAAAAGGCCTAAGAACTTTTGGGGAGGACATTCAGTCCAAAAGAGATCTCACATGCTTTGTCAGATGACCCTGCTACATTAGGCTGCAGCGGCAAAGGGCCATCCTCTATAAGCGGCTCAAAGTACCTTCTGCCATTGACCATTTCACCCAGGCCCTGGGCTGACAAACAGCTACTCAGATGCTTAAGCCTGCCCGCAAGTACAGGCCAGAGACAAAACAGGAGAAGCAAAGGCTGCTGGCAAAGGGGATGTCCCAACTAGGAGACCACCTGTCCTTCGAGTAGGGGTCAGTACAATCACCATCTTGGTGGAGAACAAGAAGATGGTGATTGCCTATGATGCAGACCCCATTGAGCCGGTGGTCTTCCTGGCCTGGTCTGTGTCGGAAGAGGGGGTCCCCAGCGCATCATCAAGGGGAAGGCCAGGCTGGGATGACTGGTCCACAGGAAGACCTGCAGCGCTGCTACCTTCACAGAGGTTGACTCGGAAGACAAGGGTGCGGCTGGCTAAGCTGGTGGAAACTATTAGGACCAATTACAAGGGCAGATATGATGAGATCCACCACCATTGGGGAGGCAATGTCCTGGGCCCTACATCAGTAGCTCAAAATGCCAAGCTGAAAAAGGCAAAAGTCAAAGAACTCGCCACTAAAGTGGGTTAAAGGTACTGCTAAGTTTTCTGTACATTAATTATAATTACAAACTTGAAAAAAAAAGAAAGAAGAAAATAAGCAGTGGTTAAAGCACTAATACCACATAGCTAAAAAGTTCTGATGGTGCAATAAAGAAAGAAGTACATAAACATTAGATAAAATTTAAGATAACTAAAAGCAAAGTCTTTTTGAAAAGTAAATAAAATAACAACCAAAGTATGCTAAAGAGGAAAGGGGGAAACACAAAGGCTGAAAAAAAAAGGAAAATAAAAATAAGACGGGGGGAGGCTGGAGAGATGGTTCAGTGGTTAAGAGCACTGACTGCTCTTCCAAAGGTCCTAAGTTCAATTCCCAGCAACCACATGGTGGCTCACAACCACCTCTGTAATGAGGTCTGGTGCCCTCTTCTGGCCTTCAGGCATACACGCAGACAGAATATTGTATACATGATAAATAAATTAATTAAAAAAAAGAATTGTTGAGAAAAAAAATAAGACAGAGCATCTTCTTGGGTCTTTTAATATCGGAGTCTGCCAGGTGGAGATGGAGAGTGAGCTTCAGTGGAAGTTGAGGTCTCTTGTCTTTCCTGCCATTTAGGTTGGTGCTCAGCCCAGCTTGGCTAAGTATCAAATGTCCTTAAGGGCTGTGTTTCCTCTAGCGACTTCCATTCTTTTCACGAGGCCACACTTAGCATCCTACGGTGAGGTGGCTTCTCCCATGCTCTAGAATCACCCCCCACCCCCAGTTCATATGCACCAGGTTGGCTAATGGTGTCTCTGAGTGCTTTGGGGACCGGGGAAATGAACTGAAGTGTTGAGGTCTGTACAGGAGAACTAACTGCAAGTGATTTCCAATCCCAGGCATCGTTAGGCATCCGTGGGAGGAAGGAGGCTGCAGAAGTCAAGGACTCTGGGGGAGTTTCAGAGTTCTCAGTCTAGCTGGAAGTGAGCCAGCAGTGGGTGGTGGCTCCAAGTGTGGAGCACCTGCCAAGCTCACGCTGGGGCTTATCAGATGCCACAGTCACCCAGCTCCAAAGGGCAAGGTTTCTGGTCAGCATCCTTCTGTCTACGCGTTACCTGCTACTTGAACTTCTTGGCATGTTTGCGTCCAGCCTGCCTCTCCACAATTGTCTGCTCTGCTCTCTTGCCCAGAGGCTGTGCCAGTTTGTTCCTAGCCCCCCCCCCCGGCTTGTGATCCATTAGATCTTGTGATCAGGTCCTCAGAGTAACCCAGTGTTAAACACTAGGCCCCCTCTCAGGACGTTCTCTAGGTGCAGCTACCTGAGACACCGCAGGTAGAAATGCGATCTTGTAAGTGTTGACCAGTCACACACAGGAGGTGCTGTCTCCCGGAATCCCTCCATGGAATTAGAGGGTCTTGAGAGCCACGGCTTTGTCCTGTGGGTAGGACTGCCAGTTTCTGCTCACCAGGGACTCTTGGTTTGCTTTTTTCCTGCTGGGGAGCCATGGCCAGGGTGGACACTGGCCACTCCTTCTGCCACACTGTGCTTTCATCCTTCCTTACTCCCCAGCTGTCTTACCAGCTCCTTTGTTGTTTCCAATGCTCTTCCAGTCTTGCATAGGAGCAACCTAAGGTTCTCTGCAACACATGAAGCAACTTCCAATCTGCACGTCAGCCTGGATGTTCCTAGACTGAACTGTCTAATTTGTTTTTTTTCCTCTTAAAAGAGTTGTTCCTTAATAAAACAAAATACAGAAATATAGAATGCTTCACGAATTTGCGTGTCATCCTCACACAGGGGCCAGGCTAATCTTCTCTGTGTCGTTCTAATTTTAGTATATGTGCTGCTGAAGTGAACACTGAACTGTCTAATTTGTTATGCATTTAGTTGCATAGAAATACATATTTTTTAAAAAATATTATTTATTTTTATCTTATGTGCGTGGGTGTCAGGTCCCCTGAAACTGGAGTCACAGACAGCCGTGAGTCACTATATGGGTGCTGGGAATTGAACCCAGATCCTCTGAAAGAGCAGTCAGTGCTCTTAACCACTGAGCCATCTCTCCAGCTCAGAAATATAGAAATTTTAATGTTTTCTTCCTATACTTCTGGATCAAGCTTTACAACCATCATAAAAGAAACCATGGATGAAGGGATCTGTCCTAAGTCCTTTGGCTTGGTGTGTGAGGCCCTTCACAGTCTAGCCTCAGTGAGCCTTTCTAATTTCATAGTCAATCTGTGGACTTCCCATGAGACTGTGAACTTGGGGAGCTCAGGACTGGAGACTGGAACCCTGAGATCTCAGCACGAAAGTGCCAGTGTGTAGGGCAATGGGCATTCTGCTTTTGGATTGGATTGTGCCAGTTCAGTGAGACCCCAGACAGCGAGACTGACCCTCCTTCTATCTATAGACTTTTCCAGACAGCCTGGTCTCCACATGGGTCTGTTTGGCAAGAGCAGATGAGCAGTTCAGTGCTTGCACGGATGGAACAGCACAGAGCAGATGGGGGCGGATTGCAAACTTTGCAGTACGTTTCCCTACCCTCTGCACCGTGTCTTCCCTGCCAGACACTCTGTCTCCAGGTGGTGCCATCACAAGGCCTCCCTGGGCCTTGTCTCATTTACTCAGGAGTCATTGGCATAAAGCAGAATGGCGCTCTCCCCACCCCCAGCCGCACTTCTTCCTCACTGTTAAGGGAGTGAAGGATAATTTAGGGTGGTGTGGGGTTGCTTCAGAGATCCTGGAGATGAGGACCTGTGTGTAGTGACTGACGGTCAGGCTGTTCTGGCTGCAGGATGTTTGATTTCTCTATTTCGTAGTCTCTTATGCCGCCCCCACCTCCGTCTGCTCCTCTGACCTGATGGAGGTTGGTGTGCTGGTGGGACCTCCACGAGCCCTGCAGACATGAGCCGCTGTGGAGAAGTGCGCTGCTGTGTGGATCTCAGAGAAAGGCTGCCCACAGGGCGTCGGTTCTGGAGCAGGAGTCGTGGACTGGGAGCTTCGTGCTGAGCTGTCTCATAAACCAGGCCACTTCTACATAGTGTGTGCAGTGTTTCTGTGGACGAACCAGTGCTTGTCTTGTCTCACCAGGCTATTTACCCCTGCAGACTGACATTCAGTGCCTTGTCTCTCTCAACCATTTTCTCTAAGGGAAGATGGGTATCTGCTCAGCAAGTCTTTGCTGTGGATGAACACTGTGGACATCACTGAGAATCAGCGAAGATAAGCCTGGGCCATGGATCTGGGGAGGTGGGTTCCGAGAAAAGCGCCGGCTGGTCATTACTGTGAGAATGGGCCGGTCAGCATGATTACGGATCCCCACTGCAGCTTGCAGACTGGACAGCTGAGGGGTGCTTGTGAGCGGTACTTGGGGGTGCAAGGTTTGTTCACCAAAGAAATGAATCCACAAGCTAGTTGTGGGGAGCTTCACAGCAGAGTTGGCTCTGACCATCATCTCCCCTGACCCTTGGGGCTTCTCAGCCTCCACAATCATTGTTTCGTGTTCCCAATCTAATGGTAAGCGACAAGGGTGGCAGAGTCCGAAGCAGGAAGGACATCCAGGTTTGTGCCCTTTCTTAGGCCTGTGGGACGGTGAAGGGTCAGACATGTCTGCCTCAGCAAAGGATGATGGGCAGAATGCAGACTGTTTCTCGCTTGCTGCTCTCTGTGAGGAGACGTGTGTTTGTGGAGAATGTCTGCAGAAGAGGTAGGGTGTGTCCAGATGAAAGAAACAGACATCCAGTAGACAAGCAAGCGTAGAAGTGCTTGTGTTGTTTGATTTTGTCGGAATTCTAAGCTAGTGTCTTTGCAGTTATCTTGGCTTTCCCCACACTGCTCATAAGATGGCGGCAGCAGCCCCAACCTTTGCTTCCTCAGACATCTAAGCCCAGGGGCAGGAACTGGGAGCGAGCTCAGAGCTGTCTAGGGCAGCAGGCAGGCTTTGTGCACTTTCCTTCCTCTTAGTAAAGAAAATCACCTCCCCAGACTTCTCCTCCGTCTAATAGGCTGGGACCTGTTATGAATCTACCAATGAAATAATCTGGAGGATGGAAAGGCATGTCACATGACTGGGTGAGATAAGTAAGAACCAGGTAAGCAAATAAGCACACAAAAGTGAGATTCTGTCAGGAGTCACGAGGAGGAGAAAGGGATGGGCAGAGAGTGGTGTGTAAATTCTTGAGATGCTTCTGAGTCATCAATGACTGTTGAGAACATCTTTGGTTTCTACCTGCCCACCTGCCATATCTTCTTCAGAAGTAGACTTTGATGTTCCTTTGGGCATGGAGGGGATTCTATCTTCATTGTTCCAAGGTAGACAAATAACATGAGTCAGACCCACGGGATCAATTTCAGGGCTCCTGTTTGAAATACCAGGAATAAGTTCTCCTTACCCCATGGTGTCTGAGGAGACGATTCGCCGGCCTGGAGCTCTTGGGCTCTATTTTGCCTGCCTGAATGAATAAATGATCAGATGAAACCAGCAAAAAGGAAAAAACCACAAGCGAATGAGAAACGTGGGTCCAGATGAAGTTCCAGAAGCCTGAAGGTTCTGCCGACAGACTCAGGCCAGGTGGTCCAGTGGTCTGATGTGGCACAGCTGCAGCCTCTCTGCTTCCTGCTGGGAATCAGAAACAAGTAGGGAGATGCTGTAAGTAATAGATTCTAAAATCGGAACTGGTTGACTCAAGGAATTCCATCCTGGGCTAAGAGTATGTTCTTAAAAAGCAGTTAGTTAAGTCATTTCCTGTCCCATCCTGGGCTTCTCAGCCAGTGTAGACTAAGGTAGGATTGCTGAAAAGCTTGGAACTTTCCAGGCTGTGCAGAACATGAACTACTTCCTGAAACTCAGGTTCTGGGGGGCAAGAGTCTAGCTTCTGTTAAAACGGAGCTACCCGGAAAGATGTTTGTATGTAAGAGGCCCGCCCCCTTTGCTTTTGGGTGCTGAAAGTCAGGTGATGCTGTGTCTTGCAGGGATAGAATACGTGAATTCCTTGTCAGGTGATGTGACTGGGAAGAAAGATAGGAGTGAAATCAGAGAGGGGTGTGGGTTAGACTTGCATTCCTGCAGGGTGGGAGGCAGTGAGCTTCTTCGGGGCAAGGAAGGTCTTCCCACAGAGTAAGAGCACTAGGCTGGGCAGTGGTGGTGGTGGTGGCGGCACACACCTTTAATCCCAGCACTCGGGAGCACAGACAGGAGGATCTCTGTGAGTTCGAGGTCAGTCTGGTCTACAAGAACTAGTTTCAGGGCAGGCTCTAAAGCTACAGAGAAACCCTGTCTCAAAAAAAAAAAAATCATTAGCCACCAGCGAAGACACACAGCACCACAGCACCTATGTACAATGATTGGCTCAGAACCAGATGATGGAAAGAATTATAGGTAGTAGTCATAATTAAAAGACAGTGGATCTGGTTGAAAGCAGGCAGCATGATTAACATTGCTCTGTCTTCTCACTCTCGTGTGCCAGGTGTGTTGGTGACGCTCACATTCATCGTTTAGCTTGTAGGCTGTCCAACCATGAAGTGCTATACTTAGAGCTCTCTGAGAGGTCCCTCATCTTGGGACTGGGTGTAAAACAAGACATCATTCTGGACTACCTGTGACTGAAGAGGAAAGGAACGAACTCTGAGATGTGTGTGTGTGTGTGTGTGTGTGTGTGTGTGTGTGTGTGTTATATGGTGGCAGAGGCCACTGAGACAGTGTGGCTCGAAAGAAGGAGGTGTACAGATGAGACAACGGAAGCGCCCGACTGTGGGGGCGCAATTGTTATCTTACCCTTTGCCAGTCAGCATCTTTCTCTTTGGAAACAGCACCCTGGTTATCATTTGAGGGAACAGCTTCTCACTGAGTAAGCTCAGACTCTGAGATGAGGCCTTTCCCTCAGGCACAGGAACCAGTTCAATAGCAGGCAAACAGCCCAATCAAGCATCTATGTAAATGGGATTCAGTTCCGGAAGGATTGAAACCCGCTGAGAGAGAAAAATCTTGTTCTCTATGATACTGATGTCATGAGGCATGGGGTAGGGTCACTAGGACTTTCTTCCCAGTGCAGGGGTGGGGGGAAGGGAGAGCTGCAGGGAAGCATTTGTCTACCTTAGCCAAGAAAAGTGGAGAGGGATGGAAAGAGGTGAAGTGGGGTGCCTCATCCAAGCTCTGGAGATGATGTCACCCCTGAACTTGTTAGTTACATGAGCCAGAAAACTTCATATTTTCTTCACGAGCATCTGGGATTTGTAATTAAGAACCCCATGGCCACAGTTATCTGTGGCACATGTAAATATGGTTGGTTCCTTGTGCTTTGAGTCTATTGGACACGCTGTGGTTCTCCAACATACAACCAATTAAGGAAAGATGGATTCCTTGGCGTGTGATAAGAGGAACCAAAAGCTGAGAGGAGAGGTTTCAGGACATCAGCAAGAAAGTGTAAAACTCAGAATCAGGAGATCGAGAAGCTTGGATGAGGGCCTGGGGAGCCTGCCATATTCCGTGGGAGGGGCGTGTGCTGTTCAAGGCTATTTTGAAGGGTTGTCCTAGCCACCTTCTGTCGCTAATGCAGCACCCAATGCCTGGGGAGTGTTGTATCCTCCCTGTCTTCTGCTCCAGCTTGGCCTGGGTTTGACACACACAGGGCTGTGGGTCAGAGACCAAGGTGGGCACAGTAGATTGATATAGCTGCAGCAGTGTTTATCGCCGTGGTTTTTGTATGAGGTATTGTATGCTGTCTTAGTTAGGGTTTCCATTGCTGTGAAGAGACATCATGGCCAGGGCAACTCTTTTAAAAGAAAACATTTAACTGAGGGCTTGCTTGCAGTTTCAGAGGTTAGTTCATTATCATCAGGGTAGGGAGCATGGCAGTAGGCA